TTAGCAGCAAATCGCCGCTGCATCTCTGAAAGCGAAAAAGTTTGGAACAATCACATTTTATGGTTTTTTGATGCCGTTAGCGCCAAACGCTGCTATTTACAGGGAAGTGGCTGCGTGCACTGGGGCGTGCACTGAGGCGTGCACTGTGCGTGCACTGAGCGTGCACTGTGCAAGGCACAGCGCGGTGCATCTGTCGATGGCCCACCCCAAAAGCTTTTTCTTTCAGCAGGCCGCTCCCACAGAGTTACACCAATGGGGACACTGCTTTACACAGATGATGCAAATTCTGGCATGCCAAATTAAAGGCCAAAGATCTCTCGCTTGAAAATGCAAAATGACTCCTGTGCTGCGTGTTTGGCTGTTTATAGCCGCAACAGTTATGTCTGCTCAGCTGATGCACGACTCCCCAAGGAGTACCGTATCAATCAATAAGGGCACCAATCAATGGTCTTGGAGGGGTTCGCGGACTCTGCGAAAAAGCGCGGGAATTCAGAATTGCGCAATATAAGGCTTTTCACCAATTTTGCGAGTTTCACAAACAGCAAATGCGAGCTATCCAGCGACAAAACTGGCTTGAGTCTGCTTCGCTCTGGCAGGAAGGCCCCCCAACTCGCCCAAGCACCAGGAAAATTGCACTTCCTCCATATGAAAAAACACATGCCATGCCACGAAACACGGGAATTTTTGAAGGTCCCACCACATACAGCCAGCAACCTTTAGCGCACCTGCCCCAAAGAATGAACGGTCGACCCACAGAATGCCGCCTTAGATCTAGAACATCTCCTTTTCGCAACTGATTGATTGTTGCCTTAGATGGTTTTTTTGCTTGGCAGGTTCTTTCGGTGCCTCCTACTTTTTTTGGGGGGGGTTTTCTTGTCATGTTTTTTCATGTCAGCAATCACGCGAGAGCGCGTCATGAGAAAGCCCGCATAGACCCCATTTGTATGATAGCACACGTATGAGAGCACACACTTGGGAAATGCGCACGAACTGATTGCAGCTTGCCACACGCCAACCTAAGTGAAGTGAACAACCCAAGAAGCCAGGAAGTTCAAGCAAGATGGTCTGACCATGACTTCAAACAATCAATGCTCCGATCTCGAGAAAGGTATGTGAGGGGCCAATGAAAGGGACACCAGATGAGTGGGCCAAACCAGACAGCCGCGGCATACCTAATTGTAACGAACCTGGGGAAAACCTAACCTCGTTTGATCTCGTTTGGTGTGAGCAACCGCATTTATTTACTGTACATGTGTAGTGCTGTGGCATCATAGGTACGTAGAAAGCTTGGAAAACGAGACCAATATCAAAATCAAAAGAACGAAATGGTGGAAATACTACAACCATTTATATATCTACATAATTCTACATATATATATATTTATACAGTAGTATTTTGTAGTATTTAAATAAAGGTCGTCGCTCATGTGTTCTTGCTTTGTGCACAGGGCAACTCTTGCGGTGTCTGCAAAGAGGACACCTTTGTGGTTGGCAGGGCCATAGCAGATGGCCTTGAGCATTTTGATCACAGGACTTCCCCAGCCGGTCGGCTCTTTTCAAACACATCAAGGCCGGGGGTAACGCCATGCCCAAAGTATAGCAAGTGTATGCAATGGCTATCAATTCACGTATTGCAGACCTGCTTGCATGTGGATTTCTACTTGCTTGGTCACTTTTACAACTGTCAAGGCCAGTGGTCACGCATTGCTGAAGCCGGCGGAACCCGTTGCCAAAGGTCGCAAGTCGAAGAGATAGTCGGTCTGGAACTTCTTATTCCCCGACGATTCCCCAAAACCTGTTGCCTCTTGTGGAAGTTGTGTAGTATGTTATGGACTGTTCAGGAAGATTGTGTGAGAGGGTTGCCATCCTTAGAAGATCAATGATAATCCGTTTAAACTCTGGGATCATTGCGTTCAACTGTTTATGTTCAATGCTCTCGGAATGCTTTGCTCAAAATACAAATACAATCCTTTGCTTGCCGCCTTCGAAGAACAACACCTTGGAGCAAAGACGCTCTGGGGAAGCGCAAGATCCATGCTGCTGGCAAGCGCGACCAAAGCTCCTGGGAGAAAAGGCTGTATTCGATTCTTTGTATGACTGCATGATGTTTTGCAGGGTCCATTGTGCTGAGCTAGATGCCAACTGGCTTTGGTCGACATCCAGGCCATGTACAATAGACATAGTTGGTTTGGTATATAATTAGCATTAATTAGCTGGTAAGTGAGGGTGGTGAAAGACTGCAGTTTGCTCAACATCGAGCTGTTCTGCTCAAAAGAGGAATAGCCAGCTCTTGACTTTTGCCAGCTTTGTGCAAACTTGAGTTGTTTATGGTTGACGCTTGCACGACTCAATAGTATCAGGACGCTACTAGGGGCTCCTGGCATCGCTACTAGGAGCAAGTAGCTACTAGGAACAAGATACATTTTGTACGATTTGCTGCTTCAATAGTTTGGGCATTGCAGCGATGGCCTGGCTGTGATGGATGTGGAGTTGCCAATGGCTTAGTCACCTTGTTTTTGTCTGGGGGGCTTGCTGTTGCTGGAAAGGATTGCAGAAGCACTTTGTGAAGCTGCTTGCGACTCAGAAAGAGCTGCTTTGCATTTGCCGTTCTGTGTTGCATGATTCTGTGTTTCACCCGGCATCCAGGATCCCGGCTTGCTGCTGGCAGGCGCATCAGGCACCTTGGGAGTTTAGCTGCTAAAATAGGCTGCCAACCTTCTATTGCATTTGATTGTTCAAGGATCAGCAGCAGATGTCGGGTTGGCTGGTCGTGCCGTTGCTTGGCTGGCCGACGTGCGCTTGGCAGCCGAGCTGGGGAGAGAGCCGGAGAGAGAAAGACGGAGGTAGGCAGAGAACAGCTTTATGTAGACAGCTCCTTGGCTAGCTCCCAGCTCTACTGTCAACAGATATCAACAGACCAACTTGGCTTTGAACTGCCAAGGCTCTAACCTTTTTTCTCAAAGTGGTTCAAGCAGACGACGCCAAGGCTGGCATTAGTAGCAGTGCTTTTGGTACTTCGCTGCGGTTCTATAAGTCTACATGAGTCTATATATAGCAGCTGACAAATCTTTAAGGGGGAGAGTACTGTACCAAGATCGAAATAAGTGTGGAAATCACCACACAGCAAGAGCAAACAAATCTAGGCAGTTTCAAGAAGAGCAAAAGAAAAGAAGAACAACACATCACGGAAAAGAAGCCCAAAAGCAATGCTCTTATTATTACACCCTTATGTTGCTTCTTTCTTGCTGCAATGATTTTTGGACGTTGGCTACAAGCCGTGTGTTTGGAGTTCTTTCAGGTGGTGGTGCCAACCTTCCAGACTCATCCGACAGACTCGTGCAATTGGGGCAGGTCAAGTTCTTAAGGACAATTGGATCTGGATTCCTTGACATCATTGTGACTCGTGACATCACACTTTTGTCACAATGTTGACCATGAGATACCCCGTGCTTGCCACCGGGATGTCAGGCCCTTGATGTGGTGGCTGGGTTTGCCAAGGCCGCTTAGGATTTGTTGACATTTCAACACCCGGCAGTGGTGAATGTCTAGACAGGGCAACATAGTATTTCACCGAATCATGAAGGCATCATCTGGCAGTGGGACAGGGAGTATGCTGAGCATGGCCATTGATGCACTTCAAGAAGGCACAAGTTGCTTGCAATCCCAGAAGACAATGTGAGAAGTAGCCGCAAGCACCCTTCATCTCAGGAGCTCAATTGAGTAGACTGCTGAGTCAGTGCCCATTGCCAGCGTGGGTCACTGAGAAGCAAGCCTATGCTTGGAATCGTGCAGCCTTGGAATCGTGGCCTCCAACCTACTAGCCTTCTTGTTACTAGTAGTAAGGGACTTGTTACTAGTAGCGATGCACCTGTTCCTAATAGCCTTCTTGTTAGTAGTAAGGCACTTGTTACTAGTAGCGATGCACTTGTTTCTACTA